CACTGCCCCTCCCGGGCTGCGCCCCCACCTGCCGGTACAGCGACTCCTTGCTGGCCAACTCGTTCTCCAGCTTGTCGTTGGCGTCGTGCAGAGACGTGGCCTCGCGCTGGGCGCTCAGGTAGCGCTTCTCCAGCGTCGTGATCCGCTCCTCCATATCCTCTCGCTGCGCCAGCGCCTGTGGGGGTGGCAAAGGGCCCCGTGGACGACTAGGCCCTGGGGTAGCCGAGGCTTAGAACCCCGGACGAGGCACCTCAGGGTATCCTGGGAAACGAACTGCCTGCCACTTGGGCGTCAGAATGGGGGTGCCACACCTGCCAAGAGCCCCCAGAACTAGCCCTAAGTCCCCTGCCACCTGAGAGTTAAAATGGTGGTAATGATGGGCGTAGTGGCTCAAGCTTGTAATCCCAGCACTTTGGGAGCCCGAGGTGAGAGGACTGCCTGAGTCCAGGGGTTCAAGACCAGCCTGGGCAACTAGGTGAGCTCTCATCTCTACAGTAAATCAAAAAAATTAGCCGGTCGTGGTGGTGTGCGCCTGTGGTTCCAGCTACTTGGAAGGCTGAGGCGGAAGGATCACCTGAGCCCAGCAAGTTAGGCTGTGGTGGCCATGAACTTGCCACTGGACTCCAGCCTGGGTGACAGAGTGAGACTTCAACTAAAAAAAAAAAAAAAAAACTAGCCGGCTGTGGTGGCGTGTGCCTGTGGTTCCAACTACTTGGAAGGCTGAGGTGCAAGGATTACCTGAGCCCAGTAGGTCAAGGCTGCAGTGGCCATGAGCATGCCACTGCACTCCAGCCTGGGAGATATAATGAGACTGCTACTCAAAAAAAACCAAAAAAACAAAAAATGGTGGTAGTACACCTCCCATGAGCATATAGGGCAATCCTGGCTCAGAATCCCCCAGAATAGGATCTAAGCCCATGGGACCACAAGTCTCTACTTGATCATGTCATCACGATGCCGCCTTAGATTTGTCAGTAACTTCCGGCACAGTGTGGGCTTAGAATCACAGATAGGCACTCATGGGAAACACTGTTCCCTTCTATCTGAAAGGCAACACTTTTCAACAGCCACAAAGGTAGCCCAGGCTTTGAACCCCAAAAGCAGTGCTTGGGAGCTCATGGGAGATCGTATCCCATCTGGTAGTTCATACAATGGGACCACCCTTTTTAATGATCTCGTGGCCACCTAGGCTTAAAATTGGAGGTGAGGACCCTAGTGGATGATGAGAAATAAGGTGCCCACTCTTCTGTCTCATTCTCTGTCTTCAGGAATTCAGGCCCCACCTTTCCCACCAACTCCCTGGGCACGGGGATTAGGGTCAAGAGGCCTAAGCCAGGAAGGGGTGAAAGGCTCACAAAAGATTCAATTTCGAGGCACCAAAGAATGTCCTAATGATAATAGAATAACTCTGGCCCATTATAGAGTGCCTGTGATGTGCCGCATGCAAAACCTCTGATTAGAGTCACAAATTCCATTTTACAGATGTGGAAACTGAGGCCTGTTGTGGTGGCTCACACCTGTAATCCCAGCACACAGGGAGGCTGAGGCAAGAGGATCGCTTGAGCTCAAACGTTCAAGACAAGCCTGAGCAACATAGCGAGACCTCATCTCTAAAAAAAATGAAAAATAAAAAAACAGCCAGGTGTGGTGGCATGCGCCTGTAGTCCCAGCTACTTAGGAGGCTGAGATGGGAGGATTGCCTAAGCCCAGGAGGTCAGGGCTGTGGTGGTGCCACTGCACTCCAGCCTGGGTGAGAGTGAGACCCTGGCTCAAAAAACAAAACAAAACAAAATACAAAAGAGGAACGTGAAGGTCAGAGAGAGAGTCCACACAGCTTGTGGACTGAATCCAGGTTTTCGCAATCATAAGCTCTGTGACTTTGGGCAAAGCAGGAGGGGGAAGAGAGGGACTCATGGCAGCCCACCAGGGGCTCCCGCCTTACCTCCTTGAGGTCACGTTGCAGCTTGGAGTTCGCTTCCTCGGCCTTGCCCAGCTCGCGGTGAGCGGTGCCCAGCTCCTCCTCCAGCTGGCTCATCTGACGGCACAACACCGCCAGGCGCTCCCGCAGCTGGCACACCTCTGCACGCTGCCGCTCCAGGGCCTCCTCCAGCTCTGCTGTGCGCCGGTTCGAGTCCCCGCCAGGTCCCAGGCCGTTGGCAAGGGCCTGGAGTGAGGGAGGAAGGGACAGAGCCCAGAGTGGAGCGCACACAGACACAAGGATAAAGTTGAACAGCTGAGATGGGTAGAGAATCAAGGATCAGTAAAAATCATGCAGGGGTCTCCAGGGGTCAGTGAGGGTCACAGAAGTTAGCTAGGTGACCTGACTCAGAGGTCAAAGGCCAGTGACAGTCTTAAGGATTAAGGAGACCATCTCAAAGTCAGGGAGCTCAATGGAGGTAACAGGAGGGGACTTCCAGCTCTCACCTGCCCGTCCCCATCCTTGCCCGGCTCTTCCAGCCCTGACCGTCGCCTAGACAGCTGCTCTCGAAGGTTCAGAGTCTGGAAATGTGAACGGGGAAACAGAGCAAGGGGGCGCCTCAGATGTCTCAGCTCTACTGCCCACTGGACTAGCCCTCTGATGGGATGGGGCCCCCATCCGAGATGTCTCTGGTCCTGCTGCTGGGGCCTCCACTGCCCCATGGTCTACCGTTAATTACCGTGTCCTTATCATATCTCTCCTTAGCTGCCACTGTCGAGGGAGTCTTCCCCTCCTCTTCCCCTTGGCCTCTTGGTGGAGGTTTTCTCTTTATTTATTTTTTGAGCTGGGGTCTCACTCTATCACCCAGTCCAGAGTGCAGTAGCATGAGCATAGCTCACTGCAGCCTCAACCTCCTGGGCTCAGGTGATTCTCAGGCATATCTCAGGCACACGCCACCATACCCAGCTCAGTTTTTGTTTGTTTGTTTTTATGTTTGTAGAGACGAGTCTATGTTGCCCAGGCTGGTCTCAAACTCCTGGGATCAAGCGATCCTCCCACCTCGGCCTCCCAAAGTGCTGGGATTACAGGTGTGAGCCACCATGCCTGGCTGAGGTTCCCTCTTTAGCCCTGACTTTCCCCATCCAACATTTTCCTCCTTAGTCCCAACCTGAGCCTCAGCCCTGGTTCTTGCTTTGGCCTCACTCTCACTGAGAGGGTCTCCCCTTAGCCCTGCCCAATGAGCGCATCCTCGGGAATCCCACTGCTTTCTCTCCACAGTCCAACCTCCTTGGTCCTCTGCCCTAGTCCCGCCCCCATGGAGTCTCTCTGGAGCCCACCCAACTGGCTCAGCCCCACTGGCAGCTCCTTAGTCCCTTCCCATGAACGCAACCTTTCCTTCCTGACCCCCACCTCCTGATTGCTGAGCTCCAGCTCTTCCTCCAACACTGCCACTCGCTCCAGCGCCATCCGCAGCCGTTCCCGGACCTGGGGATGAAAGCAGAACAGCAGTGAGATAGAGACCAGACCCAATCGAGCACGGGTGCCCCTGGCCCAGAACACTCCTGATAAGGCAACGTAAGGATTCCTCTCTCTATAATGGGTGTGCTGCCCCAACCAGCTACCCAGGCCTCCCCACCCCCCGGTAGACCCCACCCCAGTTCATTTTTCTATCACCAACCAGTCAGGAACCAGTCAATCACAGTCAACATTCTTCCCAACCAATCACAGCCAGAATCTCTCCCACTCAGAAAAGCCCCAGTCAACCACGGGTTTCTGTTCTTCCTGTCGGCTCTTCCATTGCCCACACCTTCTCATCCAGGGCCTTGTGGTGCTCGAAGAGGGACTTCAGAGCCTTGAGCACCTCCACCTCTGAGGAGACCCCGCCCGGGGACTGGGCCTGGCGCTTCACCACGGTCATGCGCAGTGACCTCTCGTGCCTGGACACCAGGCACTCCAGATGTTCCAGGAGGAGCTACAGGGATAGGCACCGGGTCAAGGAAGAGAGGCAAGGGAAAGGGGGTAGGGTTGAGGAAAAAGGTGACAGGTGGGGCGGACACATGGAGGAAGAGATGGAGCCAAGCAAAGGGAACTCGAGAGAGACAGGTCAGGAACAGAGAGAATAGCAGAGGAAGGGTCAGTGTCAAGACGGGAATGATCCAGAAGAGAGAAGAAAGGTTATGGAGAAAGGGAGGGAACACGGAGAAAGGACCAGAGGGGGAGACCAGGCAGTAAGTAGGAGCAGGGAAGGCAGGAAGGCGAGATGGGATGGGGGAGGATGGGTCAGCCCGCAACACCTCGAGGCCCCGCCCCCCGCACTTAGGCCCCGCCCCCAACGCCCCTCACCCTCGTGTTGTTCCGCTCCGCTTTCAGCTCTGCAATCTCTTCTTCCCTCTCCAGCAGCTGCTCCCGACATAAGTTCAGCTCCTTCGTCAGAGCCGCAAACTCCTGTCCAGGCATGGGCAGGATCGGATCAATCACATCTATCCTTTCCCTATCTACTTCGTTCCACCGGCCTCGAAGTTTTCAAGCCCCGCCCTCTCGGCCAAGTTCCGGCCTTCAGGCCACTCAGGCCCCGCCCACCAATGGCAAGCCTCGCCCAGACTCCTCCCTCCCAAGCGTCAAGCCCCGCCCCTTCCGGACCGCCTCTCCGCTCGGGCCCCGCCCCCTCAGGCCCCGCCTCGGCCCCGCCCAGACCTGGGGCAGAGCGATGCTGAGCTGACGCTGCAGCGAGTCCTTCTCGTGGCCGAGCTCGCGCAGCCGCAGTTGCGCTGTAGCCAGCCCGTCCTGTGCCTCGCGCAGCGTCTCGAGCAGGCGCTCGCGCTCCGTGAGCATCGTGACCATGAGGCGCTCCAGCTCGCCCCCCGCCTCGTCCGGGCCCAGCGCCGAGCCCCGCCGGCCATCCTCGCTGATGGTGGGCATCACCTCGCACATCATGGCGGCGGTGCGGGCCTGCGGGTGCGGGGAGGGGGCAGGGAACACACCGGCCGCGTCAAGGCACAAGCAGAGAAACTGAGGCACGGCCACTCGGATACTCCATAGGGGAAACCGAGGTGGGGCCGACCAGGCACTTCATGGAAGGAAGTGAGGCCCAGCCACTCTGATCGTGGCACAGGGAAACAGGCACCGATACCTGCGCACTCCACCAGGGAAACCAAGGTTTGGCCACCAGGTGCTGCCAGAGACAACAGAGGCGTATCCATTCTAATAATGGCACAGGATAAACTGAAACGCATTGCTGTTAGGAAAATAGTCCTGGCTACCTGGGTGAGGGCATTTGGGGAAACTGAGGTCAGGCTCCATCAGTCACTGGCAGCAAACCTAGGCTTGGCCCATTCAGAGGAACTGAAGCTGGCTGACACTGTCATTGCCTGAGTGAATGTAGAAGAATCAGTGTCTATCTGTTCTGGCTCCGCTGAAAATCCCTCTCAACCCACTGCATGGGTAGGAAAACTGAGGCCCAGGGCAGAAGCATGCCTTAGGAAAGGCGCAGGGCTGGGGACACAAAATTAGGTCACTAGGACATGGTTATCTGTATAAGGTCACAGGGGTAGTCCTCACCTAATGTCCTGCCCAAGTCCTACCTCCTTCAATTTCCCAGACCCCAGCTCTGGAAGAATAAAGACCCACTCCACCTGAAGGTGAAAAAAAACACACCAAAAACATGGCCGGGGCCAGTGCTACTCATCTCGCTCTTCACGACCCACAAGTCCAAGAACCAGCTCCCTCATCCCTCAGGTCACAAGAGTCTAGGCCCCCAGTCCCTTCTGTCCCCCAGACCCAGGAATCTGAGGCTCCAGCCGCCTCCTCCCCAATCCC